CAGTGTGGCTCAGCAGCAGGTAGACACAAGTTTATTTTTTAGATGAAGCATTATTAGCGCAGTTTCCACAATCAGTTACTGAGCTAAGCTTAGAGAGAATGGCTCTGAGTATAGCTGAAGGGTAACCCTCCACATTCTCCATGTGCCCCAGGCTGGCCTCTGAGCTACAGTTGTTGAGACTACTTAGGACTCTAGCTCCACCTCTGGGATGCAGTCTTCTAGGAACAAACTTAAGAGATGTGAAGCAAATATTCCCAGTGTATACTGAAGGATGTGGAAGAAACACCAGAAGGGGGACCTGGAGGTGACAACAGTGCAGGCAGTGATGGAAGGGACATTGAAGATGGAGCACTGGGGTAGGGAAGACATCCTGTCCCCTGCATTCCTTTCCAATGGACGTTGAGATGGCAATACATGCCCTAGGTTGGTATATTTCCAAGCTGAGACTGGCTGTGGGGCATTGATGGCTTATAGTAAGACCAAGTCATAGATGGCTTTTTAACTACATATCTCATTTTAGGACAGGGTCTGGATGGAGGCTATTGTTGTTAGAGTTTTTACCCTTTGGGGACCCACCACCCAGCTCCCAAGTAATCACACAGGGAGGCTTATTCTTATTCATGGATGCCTGGCTTGCTTCCAAGCTGGCTTTTCTTACATTTTGACTCTGGACTTTCTGTCTTTCTCCATTCTGTGTATGTTTCTTCATTTATTACTCTATGGCTTGCTGTGCTATCTCGGTGGCTGTCCCCTGATGTCCTCCTCTCCTTCTTTTCTTGGTTCTCCTCTCAGATTTCTCCTCCCACTTGCTCTCTCTGCCTGCCAGGCCCCAATCTGTCCTTTCTTGCCAAGGTATTGGCTCTTTAGTTCTTTATTAGACCAATCAGGTGTTTTAGACAGGCAAAGTAACACAACCTCACAGAGTTGCACAAATGCAACCTAAAAGAATGAAGCATATCCATGCATCACGAAACCAGCATTCCACAGCATAAGCAAATGTAACACATCCTAAGTTAATATCCCACAACAGATGGGGGTCTTCCCTATTATGTTCCTGTTGTTATTTCAAGATCGTCAAGAACTTCTTTCTCTGAAAGAAGGAACCAGTATTTACCCCTAGAGCATGAACTGACATTTTGGAGTCCATTTCCTATGGAGGGATACCTTGCTGGGTGAATGTTACTGAGGAAGAATTCATCAGGGGAAATCCCTGATTCCTTTAGTAACCTTGAACCAAGAACAGAAACACAGGACCATATAGACCAGCCTGTTCCTTAATTACACTGTAATTTTATTCAACAACCCAATCTTTCTTTGTAGTCAACAGTGAGAATTTGGGGCCTGTTATCTACTTGAGTGTTAGAAAGTGATGTCATATTTTTAAAGTTCTTTTCTATCTCCTGTCCTTTATTTAATTTCTAGCACATTTAATTTCAAGTACACTGCCTAAGACACCTCCATTAGAAGGTCTGGTTTAGAAATTCAGAATTTGGTTGATTAGCATGCAAGAGGTCCTGGGTCCAACTCCTGGCACTGAAAAACAAAACAAAACAAAGCAAAAGGTTTGTAGAAATAGTCAGTTGGTAAAGTGCTTGCCACACAATCATGAGTACAAGAGTTAAACTCCAGAACCCACGTAAAATTAGTTAATCATGATGGCACTTGCTTACAGTCCTAGCCCTGGGGAGGTATAGACAGGCAGGTCCTTGGAGTTTGCTAGCTGTCCAGTTAAGTCTACTATGTGAATTCCAGGTCAACAAGAAATCCTAGTAATGACTTGTTTGTCTAACTATCTGGTCTGATAAAATAACAGTGTTTCTTTCCATCAGTTATGGAGTTCTTCACATCTAACTTCTGGTTATGGAGATCTTCACATGTAATGTCTACATCTAAGGTAGGCTTTTGCAGCTCTGCGTCAGTAGATAGTTATTTTACAAGCTTCCGAGCTGGAGATTTTAAACTCATCAAAATATTCGATAGACTCCTCTCCCGAGTGCCGAGATTAAAGGCACCGCCACCACCGCCCGAGTTCTGTGGATTCCCTTACACTCTGTGTGGCAGTAATCATCATGAGCATGCTCTATGTCCTCATCATTTACTGGTGAGTTTTATTGTCTATGTGTTGGAAGCTTCTGTCCTCGAGGTCAGGGTAGAGAACTAATGGCATGGCTTTGTAGGAATGGGCAGAATGGGCAGGCAGCCCCACCCATTGTCCCGGCATTCTGGTTTGTGGTCATGTAAAGACCTCTCCTCTCCCTGGCCAGGGCTGCGGCTGCGGCTGCTACTATGGCTGCCAACTTTCTCACCATCCCACACCAGGGAGCCCCAAGGTGCTTGCTCCTGCGCAGTCAAAGCCTGGACAGACTCTGCTGACTGTGTTTGCAGCTTGATTCTATACATGTGTAGGCAAGGCTGGAATGCAAGTCTGTGTGTGCTGCTCTCTCCACTGTGTGACCAGGCCCCTGTCTCAGAGTTCCCGTTTACAGATGAGACCGAAGAGCATTGAATGGAGCATGGGAACCTGAGCCAGGGCAACTGCAGATTCATGAAGCCAGGTCCCTGCAGGGCAACAAGTCCTCAAAGGATGATGTAATTTCACCTCTTGCAGAAGTGTGTTGCTTATGATGCAGATGGAGAAAGTGAAGGCAGGAGACATCTGTGGAAAGGTTTAGGTGGGAGACTGGGAGATCACTGAGGGTACACTTAGATGTTTTGTTTGGATTAGTGCTTACACATTTTTATAGACCACAGTCACAAAGCATTATCCATTCACACCTCCCTCACTGCATGTCTACAAGGAGTAAGAATTTATAATTAAAAGTGGGACAGAGTAGTGTGTGCCTTCAACCCAAGAGGCTAAGGCAGGGAAATCACTGTGAGTATGGCTTGGGCTACATGACAAGAGCCTATGCCAAAACCAAAAGCCAAGATAGAACAAAAAAATGCAAAGTTGTGTATGATGCTGTCTGAGTCCAGAAATCCTCAAACACTTGAACTTCTCTCCAGGGTCCTAATTTGCCTTTATCTGATCAATAAGCAATGATTTCAGCAACTCAGCTTTGCAGTGGAGATTGAACTCATTTTTCAGTTTATAGAAACATCATCCTTTCTATCTCTCTGTCCCTGGATTTCCATAATATCTATTCAATTACAAGTTCAATTACTATCCATAGGTTTGGGAACAAGGTTCACTTAACCATCGGTCAGTATTCCAACTAGGGTGAACTTTACAGAGTTCAAATGTACCAGAGCAGGCAGTCAACACAGTTATTATGGAAATCAGGGTTTTAGTTTCTCTTGACTTCCTTGAATGGAACTTGATAAACAACCCCGTTGGTAGGTCTCCTCACTATTGTGTATAATATGGGGCACACATGCTTGTCTCCCAACATGACTTTTTGTAATGAGGGGTCATGCCCAGTACCGTGCCGAAGTGGATATTTTTACGCACACTGAAGAATGAAGCTGTGGATCGAATTGTTTCCTGTTCTTTCTTGGTGACTCATGCACTCTTCCTCTCCCATCCTCCGGATTCTGCTTTGCTGACATTCCACAGCTAGGACAACGTGAAGCAAAGGCGGCATCCCTCTCCTCAGAAGTTCTGCTGAATGGTGGTAGATTCCACCTGCGCATCTACTTTAAACCCTTTATTTTAAAAGGAGAGAGACTAGGAAATATACCCCTCTGCCTTTGTTTAAGATGAGTGGATCATGGGCTTTTGTTTTTTCTAGATCTAGGTCATCTAAATTTTATTCTTGAATCAAACCAGTAGCCATGTAACAAGCTGCAGCACTCCCGTGAAGGGAGAAGGAAGCAGTTGGCCACATTGTATCGTTTCATTCTTAGTTAAAAGACAAAAGTCGTCTTCCTCCCTTTTCTTTAGTTCAGAAACTCATCCTATGGGATGCTGCTTGCTCATAGTTAAGAGTGTTCCTACTCCAATCAGCCAAGCTCTAGATAATCCCTCACAAGCATGCCCAGAGAACCCTTCACATGCACGCACGGGGTCTTCTTTTCTTTGGTTATTCTAGGTCAAGTAGAGTTGGCAATTAATAGCACAGCAATTTGGTAGATCTGAGTTAAACTCTCTGAATTGCTTATAAATTATTCTACTGTCTCATTTCACCCTCAGTGATTAGATGGTCCTATGAAGAATCTCTGAGAAGGCGGACAGTACCCATATACTGGCAAACATGCTCAAACACAGCCAGATAGCCTCTCTCCTCACGAAGGTGAGAGGGAATAAAGAGACATTTACTGAGAGTAGCATTTTCAGTCCACTGAGGCCAGGGCATCGATCGCACCACACGTTATGCAGCCTGCAATTCTCCGAGGGTCCCCAGAATCTGATCTGGTGTCTTGATGAGCATGCCTTTATCCTCTGGGAAATAGCGTACCTGACACAAATGCCTCCCTAGTTCGTGAGCCCATGGTATTGCTGTGATGGCTCTTAAGGCCTGGGGCCAAGTCATATCCCCACACTCTGTCCCCACCTCTGGTTGGAGTTTGTGGATATTGACAAAGAGGACATTTCAAGCCTGCAGATGTCTTCACACGTGGTTGGTGAATTAGAGTTAACATTTTTTTTTTTTGCCGTGAAAACTTCTTTTGATCTTCTGCTATTGCAGACCCAGGGGAGGTGTGAGCCCAAAGCCTTTCTATTGCTTATTGCCTGGAGTTTTGTTCTGTTTTCCACAGGTTTCAGGATTATAAAGGTTTTCATCAGGCCCCCATGTCCCTTGACATCTAAACTTGCTGAGATATTCTTCAAAAGAAGGAGAACACAATGGTGGACCGCTTCTGGTAAAGGGCTGATGATCTCTATCTCTCAACTTGATACACCTGGAGGAGGAGCCTCCCTCATGGAGTTGCCTCCATCAGACCAGCCTGCTGGGCACGTGAACAGGGGAATTTTCCCAGTTGCTTATTTGTGTAGGAGGGGCCAGCCCACTGTGGGCGGCGCCATCTTTAGGTAGTTGCGCCTGTGCTCTGTAAGAAAGGTGAAAAAGCAAGTCAGGAAGGAGTGGCAATGACTCTGTGGTCTCTGCTCCGGTTCATGCCTTGGACTTCCCTGAGGATGGGCTCCAGTCTGTAAGTGAAAGCAAACCCTTGCTTCTCCATGTGGATTTTGGTCAGAGTGGTTCATCGGAGCAGCAGAAAAGCACATTGGGACAGAAGTTGGTTCCAGGGATGCAGGATGCTGCTCTGATGGACCTGGCCGTGTTTGGGGGCTGGGATTGTGGAAACACTTGAAACATTTGGCTAAAGAAGACACTGAGTGTTTAGAGCTTAATGGACTGTTCTGTGAGCGTGTAGAAGACAAAAAAATTGCTTAGAGAAAGGGAGATGATGGAGGCCTGGTGTGCCTAGTTTCAGAGGGACGTTTGAGCGTACCTCAAAGAAAAGTTTGACAGCTTTGTGTGGTGTATTTTTTATTAAGAATTGTAAAAGACAAACCTTTGCTTTACTGTAACAGTGGATGCTGGTCATCTGGGACTAAAAAAAATCAGCTGTGATTAATAGGCAATCAGAACCACTGAGGTGAAATCTGAGGGTATTTCCCTGGGGTTAGTATGGGAAAATCTGTGGTCCGGAGGGGCAAATGCTGCTTCTCAATCCTCCAGCTGAACCGGGTTTGGTGTAACAGTCTCTCACGTGGTCCTGTTTTTTTTTTCTTTTATGGTGTGAAAGCTGCAGAATGTAAAAGGCTATGGAGAACCGCTGAGGTTTGGCACTGTGAGAAGTAATTGGTCACAGTGTATCCTCAGTTGCAGTAGAGACCTCAGGATTGAATGGGTCTCTGGGAGAAGCTGAAGCTTGGGCCTGTAAGAGACCCAGAGAGTCCATTGGTCAAGGGGTGCTCTTAGTTACAGTGAGACCCCAGAATATTTGAATTGCTAGGATTGTGGGACATCCACCAAGAATGGTATCAGCTGTGGAATGGAGCCAGCCTGTGCTAATCAGAATAAATGCCTATTTTCTGAGTGGCAGAGCTGAACATTGGGGCTGTCCAAGCCCTTTGTAGCCTAGAATATCATGAGTTAGTTCCAGACACCAGACCTCAAACTTCTGACATTGTTAGATGTTGGTTTTGCTTTTATATGATTGTAACTGTGTCTGGCTTATTGCTTCTTGGAATAAGAAAGTATTTAACGTTCTTTTTTTTTTTCATTTCATGGGAGCCTACAGTTAAGAAACTGGATATTTAATGTATAGAAGTTTTTTTAAAGACTGTGGGACTTAACATTTGATGGTGTTTTATATTATGGTACTAATATGAGGTCTTGGGGAACACTAATGTGTTCGGGTATCAAGCTGACAAGGGGTAGACTTGTGGTGGTTTATCTTGCTCATCAACTTGACTCCCCAGGAAGAAGGAATCTCAACTGGGGAAAATGTCTCAATCAGCTTGATATGTGCGCACATTTGACACATTTTCTTATTGATATAGGAGGGTCCAGTCCTTTGTAGATGGTACCATGTCTAGACAGATACTCCTGAGTTATATCAGAAGTGTCGCTGAGTAAGCTGGTAAGCAGTGTTTCTCTGTGGTCTCAGCTTCAGAAACTGACTCAGCCTCTTGCTTCTAGCTCCCGTGTTGGCTTTCTTTGATGTCGGAATGTAACCTTTCCTACCCAGATTGCTTTTGGTCATGATGTTTATCAGGGCAGGCACTGTCTCCAAAGAGCAGGAGTCCAGTCAGTAAATACGAGAGTGGGTGTCGATAACTTGAAATGGTTAACACTCAAGTCACCAGATTTGGTGTTTGTGTCAAATGCAATCATAACAATAACTCCTAAGATGATGAAGGAACTGAGAAATTGGCTCTGCTAACAGAGCTCCTGCTAGGGTCCCTCTGCTGACTGCTTCCTTGAGGATCCTGGAAGGGACTGCCGTGTAGGTACCATTACAAAGACAAAGGTGAAAACAAAAGCTTGTGGATGCACAAGAGATGCCACTGACCTTGGTCAGTGAGAAGGTGGTTGCTTCAAGGCAGTGTCTAAATCACCCCGGAAGCAGGAAAAGCTGCACTTAACCCTCTCACACATTCAGCAATGCAAAATGAATTGATGTGTAGGGCACCTGGGACTCGAGGTACTGGAAACCCTGACCTGGCTGTGTTGCGGTTACCATGGAGACCATTGGTGCATGTGTATGTGAGGGCATGTCCTGGAACACAAGATGTCAATTAGGGCTTCTCTTCTGCCGAATCGGGCACAGGAGCCTAGTGGAAGTTGAACTTGACCCTCTGGTGTGTATACATTGCTTTGACTGTGGTGGGCAGTGTCTGAAGCCATTCTGTGGTCTCATCTAGTCAAAGATGAGAGGAAAGGGAGAGCCTCTCAGAAGAGACCAGGAAGCTTCTGGGTGGGTGGTCCAGGGATTTAGGTGGCTAGAGATGAAAGAAGGGTATGGGACTTCTGTGGAATAGACAATGCTGAAAGGGTCACAGGGTCATGAGGGCCAGAGTAAGCTCTATGGGTTATACCACCACTGAAGGAAATCCAGTGTCCCGATAGACTGTTGGTTATGTGTCCACTGAAGGATGCCACTCACTTCTTGACTTTGTGTTTCGAATTGTCTTCAATGGACATGTATTGCTCTAAGAGGTGGAGTTAAGTAACATGCTGATATTCTCTCAGCAAACCCATTCCTCCTACATCGTCTCCCAAGCAGGACGCTTTCTGCCTCTTTTTTTTATTTATTTTTCAGTTTAAATTTAGATAAGAAACAAGGTTGCTTCACAAGTCAGTTCCAGGGCCCTCTCCCTTTCCCTCCCCTCCTCCCGTGCCCTCCCCCCAAACCCCCCCATTATCCCCTCATTTCCCCAGGGAGGGTGAGGCCCTCCATGGGGGTGTCCATAGTCTGTCATTTCATATAGGGCAGGGCCTAGACCCTTCCCCAAGAGTTCAGGGTGAGAGTGCACCTCACATTGTTGGATGGGAGTCCAAAGTCCGTGTGTATACTCGGGATGGGTACTGATCTGCTGCCCAAGGCTCAATAGATTACCTAGGCCTCCTCACTGACACTGACATTCAGGGGGTCTTGATCAGTCCCATGCTGGATTCCCAGGGTGATGCCTGGGATTCAAGAGTTAACCTTTGTCAGGTCAGCTGTTTCTGGGGGTTAAACCAGCCCAGTCTTAATCCCTTTGGTCATCAGTCCTCCCTCTCTGTTACTGGCTTTCTTGCGTTCACCTCACTACTTAACCGAGGGAGTCTGCCTCTTCTTCCATCAGCCACTGAATGAAGTTTCTGTTTCCCAGATTCTCTGGCCATGGGAATGTAGGCTGGCACTCCCCAGATCTATGTCTGAAATCCATATATGAGAGAGTACATGCCATGTTTCTCTTTTTGTGACTGGGTTACCTCACTCAGGATGGTTTTTTCTAGTGTCATCCATTTGCCTTCGAATCTCAGGATTCCATTGTTTTTTTCTGCTGTGTAAATGTACCACATTTTCTCTATCCACTCTTCGGTTGAGGGACATCTAGGTTGCTTCCAAGTTCTGGCTATTACAAATAATGCTGCTATGAGCATAGTGGAACAGACATCTTTGTTGTATGAATGGGCATCTTTTGGATATATGCCTTAGAGTGGAGTTGCTGGGTCTTGCGGTAGGTTTGTTCCCATTTTTCTGAGGAATCTCCATACTGATTTCCAAAGTGGCTGAACCAGTTGGCACTCCCACCAGCAATGGAGGAGTGTCCCCCTTTTACCACATCCTCTCCAGCATAAATTGTCATTGGTGTTTTTGATTTTAGCCGTTCTGACAGGAGTGAGATGGTATCTCAGAGTTGTTTTGGTTTGCATTTCCGGGATGGCTAAGGATGTTGAGCACTTTCTCAAGTGCCTCTCAGCCATTTTAGACTCCTCTATTGAGAATTCTCTATTTAGTTCTGCAGCCCACTTTTTAATTGGGTCCTTTGATGTTTTGGAGACTTGCTTCTTGAGTTCTTTGTAAATTTTGGAGATCAACCCTCTGTCAGATGTGGGATTAGTGAGTATTTTTTCCCATTCTGTGGGCTGCCTTTTTGTCTTGCTGACTGTGTTCTTTGCCTTACAGAAGCTTCTCAGTTTCAGGAGGCCCCATTTATTAATTGTTGATCTCACTGTCTGTGCTAGTGGTGTTATGTTCAGGAAGCTGTCTCCTGTACCAGTTCGTTCAAGGGTACCACCCACTTTCTCTTCTAAGAGGTTCAGTGTGGCTGGATTTATGTTGAGGTCTTTGATCCATTTGGACTTAACTTTGTGCATGGCGATAAACATGGATCGATCTGCATTCTTCTACATGCCAGCCTCCAGTTATGCCAGCACCATTTGTTGAATATGCTTTCTTTATTCCATTGTATATTTTTAGCTTCTTTGTCAAAGATCAGATGTTCATACGTGTGTGGGTTAATATCTGGTTTTTCAATTCGATTCCATTGGTCTACCTGTCTATTTTTGTGCCAACACTAAACTGTTTTCAGGACTATAGCTCTATAATAGAGCTTGAGGTCAGGGATGGTGATGCCTCCGGATGTTGCCTTGTTGAACAGGGTGGTTTTGGCTATCCTGGGTCTTTTGTTTCTCCATACAAAATTGATTATTGTTCTTTCAAGGTATGTGAATTGTGCTGGGATTTTAATGGGAAATGCATTGAATCTGTAGATTGCTTTTGGCAGGATTGCCATTTTTACTACATTGATCCTACTTATCCAAGAGCATGGGAGATCTTTCCATTTTCTGAGGGCTTCTTTAATTTTTTTCTTTAAAGATTCAAAGTTCTTGCGATACAGGTCTTTCACTTGTTTGGTTAGCGTTACCCCAAGGTATTTTATGTTGTTTGTGGCAATTGTAAAGGGTGATGTTTCTCTGATTTCTTTTTCAGCCCTTTTATCATCTATATATAGTAGGGCTACTGATTTTCTTGAGTTGATCTTGTAGCCTGCCACTTTGCTGAAGGTGTTAATCAGCTGTAAGAGTTCCCTGGTAGAGTTCTTCGGGTCATTGATGTAAACTATCATATCGTCTGCAAACAGTGAAAGTTTGACCTCTTCCTTCCCAATTTGTATCCCCTTGATCCCCCTTTGTTGTCATATGGGAATA